TAAATGCATCCTGTGTCCATGTTCTCTAGCATCTACCTGTTTTCACTCATTTACAGATAGGTATGGATCAACACCGCTCAGCTGGTTTTACTGGTTTATGATGCTGCTAGATATTAATACATTATATTCAAGTGCTTACGGTTGGCGCGAAATGAACTGAATATTTGAACAGTGGAGACTCTGGCTGATCTAACGAGGTGTAACACGCCACTATTGGCACAATAAGAGCAGGAGGCGTCTTTAGGGAACAATCCTGTCCAGGTCTGAACCTCAACTGCCTCCATTCAGATACAGATGTGACGATCAGCAGCTGGATGATGTTTTCCTCCATGTTGTCTGACAGCTGTCTGTAGAAATACATTCACACCATATATCTATATTTATATTTATAATGTAGTCTACTATATTTTAACTAACACCATTCAATAGTAGTGGCACATATTTTTATTTTTAATTTAGCCTATATATCGGAGTAGAAGGACATATCTGATTTATTTTATTTATAAAATAAAATATCATTTATTTATATTTATTTTATGATATATTTAATATTTTTATCTCTTATTCTCTAGTCTTTGATCTTGAGGGAACAACTGTAACGTGACCTAATCTCCTCCTGGGGATCAATAAAGTTTTCTGATTCTGATACAGTTAATCTCAGACTCTACCTGGTGGAAGGTGTGTGTGCAGGTCTGTGATTGGTTGATGCTGCGTGTTGTTCTGTTGTGTCTCAGGTTTTTGTAACAAAGATCCTCTGATCACATAAACTGTACAGATGGTGGCCTTAAAGAGCAGAGACCAACACACACACACACACACACATCAGAATCAGTGTGATTGGACTCACTGACAGAAAACAGTGTCAGTGTAATTACAGCTGTCAGACACCAGAGGGCAGACATCAGCCATGTTTAAAAGACAGAACATGAGGAAGAGCTCCATCTAGTGGCTGAATCTTAGTTCTGCTTCACTCTCACATTCAGTCCTGAAACTGGAGTCTGAGACCTATCCCATGCATTTCACCAGGTCAACCAGGTACACTCTGCACACACACACACACGCAAACACGCAAACATGAACACACACACACACACACACACACACTCTGTGGAGCTCTGTCCCTCATCAGTGTGTGAGGATGTGTCCTTCAGAGGATGGAGGTCTGAGGTGGGAACCAGAGTCTCTCAGGGACCAGACTAGAGGTGTGTTCAGGTGGTTTATATCTGGAGGTTGTGCTTCAGAACCAACATGGTAAAACATACAGGCTGGTTAAAGGTCAGTGGAGCTAGAGGCTGAACTCAGTTATTGTTTATTTATTTATCTATTTCAGATTTTACAATCAGTAGCTTCAGAAAGTTTCAGACTTTGTGTTGTTCATTTAATTTAATCCACAATCAATAATCTATAGTAACAAAGTGAAAATATGTTTTCAAAAACAAACCTTGAATTTCTAAAAGTCTTCAGACTGTGATCAGCTGTTTCCTGTTACAGATAACTGAGGGGAGTCTGGACCTTGACTGAGTCCACCTGTGTGGAACAGCTTAGACAGACACACCTGTGGATCTCACTGATGAACTTGTTGTTTCTCAGGCTGCGTTCACACTGACATGTTTTCTTTTTAAAATAAATCCACACTAACACACCTGAAACATCACATCTCACATGACCATTGATCTACACTGAGCACGTGCAAGCTGGTGTAAACAGGAAGTAGATTGTCTGCTCTGACCTCAGTGTTAATCACTGTTTTTTCCGGTGTTGAAAGGTGTAACACCAGGAACACTCTGTCTCTCTCTACAGAGTTTACAGTTACTGGATGTTGATTTCTCTTCTTTATTAATTTATTAATTCATTTTTGACAGTAAACGTCTGTAAATGTCTCTGTCTGCACATGCAGCTGCTACAGTGGTTAAAATATATTTATATTTTCATGTCTGTGTCATATTCAGTTTCAGACTGACTGAGAAACTACACTGAAGGAGTCAGATTTATATAATGTTGCTGGTATGATGTCACTGTGACATCATCAGGTCTTTACTCTTTTTCTGCTGCCAGACGCTGAATCTCTAGATCATGTGACACAGCTGTGACATGTGACATGCGGCGTGTCACTCTAACCACAGCCACCACACATCCAACGTGTTCCTGGTCTAACTGTCCCCCCTCCTACTGTCTTCATGCTAAACTAGGCTAACAACGCCCTGACCCCAGATCAGTCATGAGATTGTCCTGACACAAAGGCTGATGTCAGTTTAAAGACCTTTCAACACAATGTGGTTCAGTTTAAGACACATTATAGTAACTATAACTAGAAAATTCCAGGGAAATTTTGAGTGCCACGGGAGCTACTGCCGAGATGAGTACATGATTTATTTCCAGTGTTCAAAAGTCACCCTGATCATATTCTGGTTTTGAGAAATGTCTTGATATAAAAGACTCTGATATAAAACAATGTCACATCCCTCCATCATGTATTATGTGGGAAATATCTCATATTCTGTGTTGTTTTTTTTAATAAAACAAGAGGCAACATGTCTTCAAACTGGCATTTAAAGGGTTAAAATCCTGAAAACTAATAAACATTTGGTAGGTTTGAGCAGAACTGAAGTGGTTTAAGAGATGTATGCAAAAAAAAGCAGAAAAAAATATTGATATATGATGATTTTATAGCATTTTCTTTGTGTGTCCTTTTTTGGACGCGAGGAACCCCAGAGGGTACAAAATGTGTTACCAGTGTATAATAGACCTGTAACAGTAACTGACATTAGATTTTAAAAATATGTCAAAAAAGACACTTTCTTGCAGAAATCCATACCTTCAGCTGTAACACAGCCAAAATGATCAGCAAATCAAAAAAGAAAAGTGAAGAAAATGTCCAAAAAAGGACAGAGGGACCCCTGAGGGTTAATAAATCCCATGAACCGCTATTTAAATTACCACTATTATGTTTTTTTCGGTGCTAAATTTAACATTACTGGGGAGGAGAGCAACGCGACTAGAAGTGACAGCGAGAGAGGGCTAGTAGCTTCTCCTCTCCTCTGTCTCAGCGGAGACCGTCACAACTTCATTCACTCATTTAACAAAACAAAAAGAAAAGCAACAAAGGAAGCAGTAAATGGACTTACATATTTAAGACCTAACTAAATGTAATTTAAGACCTAACATGCGGCTAATGTAAAGCTAGCGGAGCTTGGAGAGTTGGTTATCTGGTTGCTAGGCACGCACACACGCACACAGGTCAGGAGCTGCCGTTGCCATGGCAATGTGAAAATCTGCCCAGAATTTGGCTTCTACATGGCTTAAAACAATTGCAAATTATGAGAAAACCGTTACTTCTTTTCAAAAACCGAAAACACCGTGACAGACACTGAAGCCAGAAGTTTCTTACAGTCTCTATTTTATTCAGATATTCCTTAAAATGAGTGAGTAAGCTCAGTGCGAAGACAGAGTGAGATTCTTTTGAAAGAAAAAGACGATTACATTAGGTGTCAATGAGAGTGAGACAGGTATTGCTGCCGGACTCGGCACCCCCGTTTAAATTTTGTGCAGACCCTGCCTGTCAAAGTTACATTTAATGAATCCCAACAACTATGTCTACATTTTCAGAAATAATTATTTGTCTCCTTTTTACGGTTTGGCCGTGAGCTCGAGTTAAAAATAAAAATGAAGGTTATTTTTTACTGCTTCACGCACTCTAGCCAACTGACGCTGTCACTCTAACTTTGAAGAAAAAGTGATTTCCACTCCTCCTTTGAGTGCTCATAGTTTGAAAAGTTTACATGTTATGTAAAAACATTTGCTGTGTTTTGGAGAGAGCAGAAGTTTTCCTCCGTTTTATAGTTTGAATCACATTTCTACGTGCAGGTATGAGGGAGCTAGGTGACTCAGAAAAAAGGTGAAATTTTGTAGAAAAAAGGTGAAATTTTGTGGGTTTCTAAAGAAAATTCCAATGCATTCCTAATGCGTTATTTATTCCCAGTTTTTTGGGAATAACTTTGGGAAAAATTGGAATTTTAAAACCAAAAGTCATAGCACTATTCTAGCTGTAGAGGAGTGGCTCGGAGCTGAGCACCCGTGGCACTAATTAACACTTTGATCCACGACGAGGTTGACTGAAACCTGATGGTCGGGTCTCTGTAGACTGGTGATGGTGGTCGAATGAATAAAGACTGTGGCGGTGGAGGAACGTGACATGGAGCCAGAGGATGACGTCCAGCTCAGATCCTGGATCAGCAGGAACCTCTCTGCTGTTTCCTCGTATCAATCATGTAGCTTTAAATCTAATTGATAATGAGTCTGACTGATTTCTGTCTCTTGTAAAGGCACTAACTGAGCAGAGAATCTGGTAAGTTAAAATACCCTTAAAATAAAAACAGTTGCACAAAACACCTTAAGTTTCATCCTTAAGGTGTCCTTAAAATGTTCCCTTAAGTATTCACGGTTTTCTCCTGATCTTAGTCTTATACTTAAGGAATCACTTAAAGTCAGTTAAACCGTTGCACAAAAGACCTTAGAGATCAAACTAAGGGGAAAAAACTTGTTGTGATGCTAAACGCTATCACAAGTGCTAATGCCAGCAAACAACTGGTCTCCATGGAAACAGTAGAAATTTATTGCTGTAAAATCTCTATCACTGCTGTAAATGCCTTAACTTTTTTCCTTAATAAGGAAACTAAGTTATTCTGTGCAACAGCCTGAAGTAACTCCTTCAGCTGAGGAAAAATTAAACCTTAAGTGTCAAGTGTAGAAAACTTAAGGGGTTTTGTGCGAGCGGCTCCTGATGTTCCTGATCAGACCAGGATCCACCTATGTGAGGTCATACTCTCCACTCATATGAGGAGCTGTGATTGGCTGATGAACCTGTACAAGGAACTCTAGCACCACCTACAGGAGAACGTTACATCAGAGCTTCACTATAGGTCCGGTTCTGTCATAGTCTCCTAGGGATCATCAGCTGCTTCACACCTTTAAATCATATTTAATAAACAGTCAGTCACCTGTCACGGCACACCTGTCTTATTGTGAGCTGCTGTGTGCGCTAACAGGCCACTTGTGGAGGCCTTTAGGTTTATGAGGTTTGAGACTCTGTGTCTGATGACGGGTCTGTGGTGCCCCCCACTGGACCAGACCCCTCCCATCACAGCGGCTCTGTCTGAGCGCTGGCGCTGAGGAGGAACCTTCCTCGGAGCGTGTTTGAGTTTAGCAGCTAGCTCAGGGAACTGCTGGGTGTACAGACGCTCAGTGTATTGCAGCTCTGGGGTGATCAGTCTCTGACACTGGGTCCTGGTCTGGGGGTCTAAGTCTGGGTTCAGATTGTAGCCCTGAATGACAGCTGCTCCATATTGGAACGGCTTCAGCCCAGCGTCTTTAATCTGGGAGGGGTCGACTGCTCCGCCATCTTTCAGGCAGGTGTTTGCAAGTTTGAGCTGCAGCTCTCTCAGCTGAGACACCTCCCTCTTCATCTGCTCTCGACCAACCAGACTGTCCACCTTGTGCCAGAAGGTGGCGTTGAAGTGCAGGTAGATCCTCCAGTCCAGAGCGTTCCATCTCCGGATCTTCTCTGGAGTGTCTGCTGACAGCTGATGACGAGTTCTCTCACTGCGACTGTTGAGCTTGAAGGAAACCATGTCTTCCAGGGACCAGCAGAGGGCGTGTCTGAGCAGGACCATGGACTCGTCAAAGTACTCTGAGATCAGAACGAGGTGGAAGTCCCGCTCGATGGCAGCCACGGCTCTGCTGGCTCTCTCCTCCAGGTCGTCGGCGTCAGCTGCCGCGTTGTTGTCGAAGCCGAAGTCAAAGGCCAAGATGTTGTGAGCGTAGTGGTTGTTGGTCACAGAGGAGTTGTAGGTCCTCCAGCTGTTGTCCAGGAAGTCGTCCAGGCTGCGAGTCTTGTGGAAGGCTGGGATGCTCTTGTAGTAAATAAAGATGGACTCCATCATGGACACAGGATGTCTCAGGATGGAGAAGTAGAAGGTGTCGTCCGGCATCACTTTGACCACCTGGACACAGGAGGACATTTAATTTATTAATCTTAGAGACAGATTCTTCTTCACTGCCACTGAGTTACATTCAACAAATCAACTTTATTTTATATCAGAGATATAAAGAGATATAAATTCAACATGTCCATTTAAGACTCCACTAACTGGGTCCACGAAGGCACCGAGCAGTGTCATGTGACCTCACACTGATACCAGACTGTATGTGGGGACGTATATAAACCTGACAGACAGGCTCAATGAGGTCCAGTCAGTTATGTGATCAGATTCCTTCTGGATCCCGACTGTTCTGTTTTTAATTTAGTTGATTAATGAATTATAAATTAAACAACAGAATGATGTTGAAGGTGATCACTGAGACAACACGTCCAACGGGGCCCAAGTGTTACCATGGAAACTGAAGGGCCATAAGAACGTGTCGTTAGGTCCTCCACTGATCCATGCCTCGGCCCAAACTGTGGTCCACATGTTGTAGGTGGACCAGTCTGGACCTGGTGTGGGTCTTCACATGGACCCAGATGCAGCGTGTTGGGACACAGGGAGCTGATGGACAGACTCCGTAAACACTGTGTTGACTGGACTCAAGTGAAAGTCCAAGTTTTATTCATTTTATATTTTATTTACACTGTTACCTGCTGAATACGTTTAAGAATGTTTCAGTCTGTTAATAACTGTGTTGATTCACTTGAGTTAACACATGTAATGAAGTAATTATGACACTGTGTAGTTCAGTTGTCCTTCCTGGAGGATAACTGTTGCTATGCTCCTTGGGAGTTTTATTCCTCCGTGTTGGTGACAGTCAGTCAGAGCGGCAGCCATTTTGTTTACAGGTCTGTCTCATTCTCATGGACACGATATCTCAGTGACACCTTGAACAAACATTCACCTGGACTCAAGGACGAGCTGATTAGATTTTGGTGGCTAAAGGTCAAAGGTCAGTGTGATCTCAGAAAACACCTTTTAGCCGTTACTCAAGACTTTACACAGATGGTTCATATTTGACTCTTATAAACAGGATGTGACCGGAAACTAGAGCGGAGGAGGAGGAGACTCTAGTTTGTGCTGCTCTGATGAACAAAGTCAAGTCATGTTGTGGTTCTTTTATCAGGTGACCTGTCACCTGCTGGAGGTGACAGGAAAGCTAAGACTGACCAACCACTGAACCCAGCTGCTGTAACTACACACAGAGAATGATCAGTATCAGCTGTGAATCAGCTGATCTCACTCATAGATGATCGTATCAGTATCAGCGCCAAAAAAATGTGATTGTGGCGTTCCTACTGTGAACACATGAGGAGTCCACATGAGACCTGGTTTACAGCTCACCTCAGACTTCCTGAACCTCATGTGGTTGCACATGATGTTGAACTCCTTCACTCTCCTGCTGCTGACTCCCTCCACGAAGTGAGAGGCAAAGAAGAACGGGTAAAACAGCTGACTGTGTTTGTTCACTGGGAGGGCAAAGGTCAGGTTCCTGCTCTCTCCGTAGCGATACAGGACGTTTAAGATGGTGCTACTGGCTGTTTTGTGCGTCTTCAGGAAGACGATGTGAGACTTTGGGTGGCAGCTAATTTTAGTCCTGTCACTGGATGTGGTGGGACTGTGGACGAGTCTCTCTACTGGACCTGCAGTCAGATGGTTCCTGGTGCTGCGGAGGACCAGAGGACCTGGATCAAGCTGCTCCTCCAGCTGAGAACCTGCAGCAGGGTTCAGGATTTTATCCACATGGGTCAACAGAATATTATCTGATGGTTTTCTATGGCCCCCCTTCTGGTGATGAAGATCTGGTCTGTCTGTCTGTAGTGGTCTTGTGTTCTGCCAGTGTTCCCAGACCTTCTGCAGGGAAGGACTCGGCTGTTTGTTGACAGTGAATCTCAGATCTGGTAGTCCTGGTCCTGGTCCTGGTTCTGTCAGCTTGTCAGTCCTGGAAGAAACCGGATCACAGTCAGTGACTCACTCTCTGGATTCCTGAGATTTCTCACCATAAATAAATAATTAATCATTAAATGATATTCATATTTTCTGATGGTTTTTTTCCCCCACAATTGTGAGATTGTGTTTAAGTAGATTTACACTTCCTACAGGTGTACCAAGAGTTCCCAGGACGTGTTGGGATCATTCACCCTCAGTCCTCTGTGGTCTGAACTCTGATGATGTTACATGAATTAATGATGTCATCAGACTGTCAGCTGACATGTGTACGGATCGTTCTGTGAGTCATTACCTGGCTGAGCGGGTGACAAATGTCTGGAAGGCGACACAGACCAGGAGCAGGACGAGCAGCATCCAGAGAGAGTGACGCTTGCTGCACAGCCCCCTCCTGACACACCTGCAACACACGCATGCACGCAGAAGAAGAAGAATCAGTAAATAAATCTTGTCTGAACTGAGCCTAAAATATATTGGAGGTGGTTTTCACAGCAGCAGCAGATGGATGAGAAAACTCCCAGCAGCCTTTGCGTTCTCCTGGACTCAGAGTCTCTTCTAGTCTCACAGAAACTGCCTCAGTTAAACATTCAGTCATGGTTGATTCAGATTTAGTGAACTGAATATTTCAGCTGCTGTTTTTATAAGAAGAAGAATAACAAGCTTCATTTTACTTTAACCTCTCTACAACCGGATCTGAACCAGAGATTATTGATGAGAGATTATTGATGAGAGATGGTAACTACAGATGAGAGGTGATTGGTGATTGGTGAGAGTGGTCTGTGTGGTTACTGTCGTCCATTCTAACTCAACACAATCCCTCAGTCCTCCTCCTCATGTTCACAGATCACATTGTTGCTGTTTCCTCATCCTCAGTCTGACTGACACATTCCTCAGGAACTCATATAGTTTATGAATAGGGGCCCGCGCCCCCCCCCCCCCCCCCCCCCCGTTAAACACTGCGTTCACCAGACTTCAGCTCTGTCTGTCTGTGTGGAGGTTCAGGCTCCACTGCCAACACGAAGTCCTGTGGCTAAAACAAACACACACATTCTCACACACACACAAACACACCGAAGACACACACTCTCCACAGATCTCCTCTCTCAGGTTCTCAGTCCATGTGGTCCAGTTCTAAGGATCCTTCAGGATCTAGATTTAATTTGGTGCAGAAACACAGGAAGTGATGTGACCCTGAATCACCAAAATGAAAGTCCTGAAACACTGAGGTCAGTGTCTCCTCTCTGCTCCCACACTCTCTGTCTAACACATTTACTTGTGAGCTGTTTACTGTGAGCTGTCTCTATTATCAGCCTGGTTCTAATGAAGGACCTTACCTAAATAAAACCAACAGTATCCAGTTTGAACTGGTCTCAACATCAGCTGCTGCAGGAGAGAGTCACTGGAGTCAGTTCACATCTGCTGGTTCGTCTTGTTCTGGTGGTTTGATGTTTTAGCAGAGTCAGAGCTTTCTACAAACACAGACCTCAGACCACAGACCTCAGACCAGTCAGAGCCAGAAGACACACAGACCAGAGTAACCTCCGACTCGTGTTACATTTACATCGACTCTACAGACACTGAAACATCTCTCCACTCCAGCCATCACTCTCTGACTCTGTAGCAGAGACCCTCATCCACACCTTCATCACCACCCTTCTGGATTCCTGCAATGGAGCTCTGTTTGGGGTTTCCAGCAAAACCCTGGACAGGCTCCAGTATGTCCAGAACTCAGCTGCCAGGGTTCTTACCCACACCAAGCCCTGGCAGCACATCACCCCCACCATCATCCAACTTCACTGGCTCCCGGTCAAGGCCCACGTCCAGTACAAAATCCTCTCCCTCACCTACAAATCCCTCCATGGTCTCGCCCCCCAGTACCCGTCTGACCTCCTCCACCCCTATACCCCATCCCCGAACCCACGGTCCTCGGACACAGGTCTGCTCTCCACCATCCCACAAGAGATGCACACAGCCTGATCTCTGGACATCTACAAAACACTGCTGAAGACCCACCTGTTCACCAAGGCCTCTGACTTCTAGCTGCCTCACCTCTTACAATCTCCTACAATCATTGCCATACTCATTCTGTCTCTTCTTGTTTTCATTTATTCATCTTATATATTTACTTTTTGTCTTCTTACTCTGTACAGAGGCCTTGGGTACCTTGAAAGGTGCTATAAAAACCTAAGTTATTATTATTGTTATTATCATTATTATCATCACTGAGGATGGATTAAGGATGTGTAGTGACAGGACGTCTCTTTTACCCCCCCCCCCGTCTCTCTCTAAAAAATTAGTGTTGAACAATGCTTTTAACTTCAGAAGTCAAACTTGGGCATCAAACAGCAAGTCCCAGCCAGGTTCATCACTTTTTAGTGTTCCCTGGAAACACTTCCTGTTGCATGTGTTTTCTGAAGTTGCAGGAGAAGTGAATGAGATGTTTTATGGTGCATCACTGCTACTGAAACATGTGCACACCAAGTCCAGGTTCAGTTGAAATATTCAAAGCATGTGTGAAATCTACTTGCTGATTTTCATACTGTATGGAAATGACCCGAAGCTGCTGGCTGCCGCCCCTGAGGAGAAACATTAAGGGTTCACAGAAGTCCAGACTTAATAGAGGAGAGAAGCCACAGGTTTCCTCAGGCGACATCAACATCTGGAGCCCAGCCAGCTGCTGAAGCCCCCCCTCCTCCTCCCCCTCCTCCCCCTCCTCCCTCCTCCTCCTCACAAACAGTCATGAACTCTTCACCTCTGAGAGGAGTCATAGCTCCAGGTAGGACGCTCTGCCTCCAGAGGAATTTCAGGCATCTGTCTGCTGCCGGTGGTCTGAGCTCAGACACTCAGAGTCCAGGAGAAACAGAGGCAGAAGAACAGTCAGAGGAACAGACAGAGGAACAGACAGAGGAACAGACAGAGGAACAGACAGAGGAACAGTCAGAGGGACAGACAGAGGAACAGTCAGAGGAACAGTCAGAGGAACAGACAGAGGAACAGACAGAGGAACAGACAGAGGAACAGTCAGAGGAACAGACAGAGGAACAGTCAGAGGAACAGAGGAACAGACAGAGGAACAGTCAGAGGAACAGAGGAACAGTCAGAGGAACAGTCAGAGGAACAGAGGAACAGACAGAGGGACAGACAGAGGAACAGACAGAGGAACAGTCAGAGGAACAGTCAGAGGAACAGACAGAGGAACAGACAGAGGAACAGAGAAACAGACAGAGGAACAGTCAGAGGAACAGAGGAACAGTCAGAGGAACAGACAGAGGAACAGAGGAACAGACAGAGGGACAGACAGAGGAACAGACAGAGGAACAGTCAGAGGAACAGTCAGAGGAACAGACAGAGGAACAGACAGAGGAACAGTCAAAGGAACAGACAGAGGAACAGACAGAGGAACAGACAGAGGGACAGACAGAGGGACAGACAGAGGGACAGACAGAGGAACAGTCAGAGGAACAGACAGAGGAACAGACAGAGGGACAGACAGAGGAACAGACAGAGGAACAGACAGAGGAACAGTCAGAGGAACAG